CTCTCTCTCTCTCTCTCTCTCTCTCTCACTTCTCTCTCTAACTCTCTCTATCTCTATCTCTCTCAAGCATTCCTTCCCCTTCCTCCCCTCCCCACCCGCTATCTATCTCACTATCTCTATCTATCTATCTTTCCCTCCCTCCCCATTGCCGTGGCATCCTTCGTCGACCCCAGCATCTCCTACTCCTCCTCCTCCTCCTCCTCCTCCTCCTCCTCCTCCACCTCCCCCTTCTCCTCCTTCCCCTACAACTCTCCTCGCGCTCTTTCTGTTCAAGGCGAACCCTCCTTTTTCTTTCTCTTCTTACTCTCCTCCCTCTCCTATCCTACCTCTCCATCTTTCCTGTTTGGTCGCTGTCGTCGTCGTCGTCTTCTGCTGGCGCGCGAACTACTCGCTCGCTCGTTCGCCTTCGTCTTCGTCTTCGTCTTTGCCTTCGTCTTCGTCTCCGTCTTCGTCTCCGTCTTCGTCTTTGTCTTCGTCTCCGTCTTGGTCTTCGTCTCCGTCTTCGTCTTGGTCTTCGTCTCCGTCTTCGTCTTGGTCTTCGTCTCCGTCTTCGTCTTGGTCTTCGTCTCCGTCTTCGTCTTGGTCTTCGTCTCCGTCTTCGTCTTGGTCTTCGTCTCCGTCTTCGTCTTGGTCTTCGTCTCCGTCTTCGTCTTGGTCTTCGTCTCCGTCTTCGTCTTGGTCTTCGTCTCCGTCTTCGTCTTGGTCTTCGTCTCCGTCTTCGTCTTGGTCTTCGTCTCCGTCTTCGTCTTGGTCTTCGTCTCCGTCTTCGTCTTGGTCTTCGTCTCCGTCTTCGTCTTGGTCTTCGTCTCCGTCTTCGTCTTGGTCTTCGTCTCCGTCTTCGTCTTGGTCTTCGTCTCCGTCTTCGTCTTGGTCTTCGTCTCCGTCTTCGTCTTGGTCTTCGTCTCCGTCTTCGTCTTGGTCTTCGTCTCCGTCTTCGTCTTGGTCTTCGTCTTCGTCTTCGTCTTCGTCTTCGTTTTCGTCTTCGTTTTCGTCTTCGTTTTCGTCTTCATTTTCATCTTCGCATTCATTGACTTCGTATTCGTCGTCGTCGTCGTCATCGTCGTTGTCGTTCTCGTCCTTGTCCTCTTCCTCGTCCTCGTTGTCGCCCTGGTCGTGGTCGTGCTCGTGATTGTGGCCGTGGTCGTAGTCATGGTCGTGGTCGTGATCGTGTTCGTGGACATGGACGTGGACCATGACGTGAACGTGCCCGGGGTTGTGATTTTGGTCGTGGTCGTACCGCGACTCCTTGTTGTCTTGTTGCTCCTAGAAGCGAGTAACGTACGCCCATTCCCTTGTAGCACGCGTCTCGAGGGAGAGGCTCCCAGCCGGTGAGACAGACGTCTTGGGCCCATGCAAAGTCGGTCGTCTGTTCTTTCTCGCGTTAAATTTAACGCAAGCACGAGAGACGCGCCGGAAGCTCGGAGGAAGAAGTGGCGCGATATCCCTCCCCCTTGCCTCCGATCCATCACCGTATGTCTGCGCCCCGGCCTATTGCCGATTGCACACATCGTGCACACGTGTAAAAAAGCCTAGGCTTGGCGTGTCGACCGAGTCCAGTTTATGCCCATTTAAACGTGCGTACGTGTGTGGTGGCGCGTACGCCCGTTCATGGGCGGGGAAGGCGGGGCGGCATGATGAAGCAGGAGGGAGGAGGAAGGAGGGATAGACAGATAGACGGATAGCCAGATGCTGAGGCTAGGGAGCGGAGAGGAAGCTGGTGGGTACGGTGGGTACTCTGGGCACAATGTACGTAACGGGCTCAACGGGCACAAGCAGCCGAGGGGAGCCGAGCTGCTTGTTCCCTCGTTCTCGGAATGATGCGGCGCATGCAGCGGCACATCGGGGCATACCCGCCGATGTACACGCGATCCCGAATGTTACGTCACGATAACGATCTTCCAGACAGATTGCAAGAAACGATCATTGCTCTGGCACGCGTTCGGGCTATCAAATGACAATTATTATCCCCTATCTTTATCATGGAAGAAGCGAACGACACGTACGCTTCTAACTGAAACGTACGTGCAGCCACCCACTTTGTGCATTCATCCTCTCCAACGTCCTTCCCCCCCCCCTCCTTCATAAAACTCACTCGCTCTCTCTCTTACTCCCTCTCTCTCTCTCTCTCTCTCTTACTCTCTCTCTCTCTCTTACTCTCTCTCTCTCTCACTCTCTCTCCCACTCTATATACATCCATCTATCTGTCTACCTCTATCCGTCTAAATACCTTCCTCCACGAGCTCCTTCAACAGCTATCTCAATCCCTCTACCACTTGCGTAATGCAAACATTTAACCAATACTAACCGAAATCTCGAGCAAAACTTTATTGGCATGAATGCGAATATCTTTACTAATTTTACCTGCGCATTTATTTTCGTTCGCTACACTTAAATATACGTTCAGCATTGTACAAAACGAGCATAGTGAAATGACCAACCCATATTGCATGAGAATATTCTCAAGAGGCGCGCGTCCAGTTATTGAAAGGACAAAAATTTATTAAAATTTTTGAAGAACAATTTTACGAAACGTACAAGCCATTCGTCATCTCGATCCTGCCATTGAAAATGTCTAATTACGTAAAACGTAATGAATTGCCTTAGCCAAATCGGCAAAAATGGCACATAAAAATTTTCTTCAACTTTCTCGACCTATCGATATTATATATAATTTCTCCAAAAAGCAGTATCAGTAACTCACATTTTTATAAAAGACTGCACAAAGTATTTAAAATTTAATGGTGCGTTAATTTAATATGAAATTTATGTAAGCCTATTTCGTTTGTACGATCTAATCAATTTTTCTTCTAAAGTCGGAAAGACAATGGAATGCGACTTTCGGTGTTAATTATATCTCGTTTGGTTGCTAACGAGCAAACGTAATTTTTTCAAGACTTTACATCAAGAGATATGTAACATTATTATCGATAATTAAGGAAAATGTCAATATTATAATTCCTTTTTATATTCAGATGATAGATGAAATTCATTGTTTTAAGTATTCTATGAAATTAATTATTAAAATCAGTAGAGTCGATTTAAAATATCAATTATACAAGGCTCCCCATAATGCAATATATCATGTAAAAAAAAAAAACTTCCGACTAAATATGCCAATATCGCATATAAAATATAGCAGAAACGAAGTTTTCGTACATTTTTTACATTTTTTTTCCCCCAACTCTCGTGGTCTACATAACCTATTTTAACATTGGCACATCATATTATTGCCAAGGACTTAGAAATATTTATTTTACCTAAATTAAAATATTAAAAATATTAAAAATATTAAAAATATTAAAATTATTAAAAATATTAAAAATATTAAAAATATGTACCGACTAGAGAGTACATAAAATTTAAAATAATGCCTATTGCAAATTGTGCCCGAGTATCGTATGAAACATGAATATATATATATAACAGCAAAAGATATTTATCTTCATTTGATTATTAAATGAAAAATATTTTTAAGAAATGAGAGGGGAATATACTTTATTTAAAAATTAAATCCCGCACATATATATATATATATTGGATAGGATTGAATGAAACTAATAGGAAGGAACAGAATTAACATCCACAATTTAAATAACGATTAAGATTATCCTTTTAATTAAATAATTGATAATTTGATTTTGGATCAAATGTTTCATTCGTTATTCCTAGAAAGTATTATGTTGGTAGCGATTTTTTTTTTTATTTTTATTTTTTTTTTTTTTTTTTTTTTTTTTTTTTTTTTGGAGAAAATTTTAAGCCATGAATATAACTAAATATCAACTAATCATTATATTTCCTTGTATATGCTTTATCATGATTGTAGAATATAATAGAGGAAAAGATATTTTACGCGCGTGTAAAGAGATAAATAAAAGTTCAGATGCTTTGGCTTCGCTCAAATTATTGAAACGTCAAAGTGTGTATTACATACACACGAATGTGAAGTAAGATCATTAATATTCAAGGTGGTGAGAAACAAAGTAGCACACATTTCATCTTAAATATCACTAACATTGCCATTATTGTGAAATTTAACGTTTATGTAAACTAAAGATTTTCAATTTCAAATTTAAGAAATCGGAAAAATCTCGGCATCTTTAAAATCGTGAAGCACAATGTGTCCATGAATTATTCTGCTCCTTACAAATCATCCTCCCTTGGCAATCGTTATCATCGATAAGAATCACTATGAATCGAGCATTAGCTCAATAAAACATTTATCGGGTGGAAAATTTAAAGAACGATAGATATAAATATCACGCACTCGATGGAATAATATTTCGTGATATCGAAGGCCAACGTCGTTATCGCGAAGGCTCCCGCGTATATCCTGAATCTTTCTTAAGCGTTGGCACCTTCAATTATACGCGCTTTATAATTACAATGCGCAAACGGGGGCGGGGAGGGGGGGGGGGAATGACGAAATGAGAATGTGGAGAAAATATGAAAATCGTTAAATAATTCGAATACCGAGTGTTTCCAGGGATTCGTACAATATAGCGAAATGCAATAGTTTTCGATCGTTAAAAAGCGATGGCCCCTCCGGACCCAAGCACGACTGCAAGATGAGCAAATTAAGTTTACGATGGGATCGAGGACAGACGAAAAAACGAGTTCGCCGAAAAGTTCGCGCGCGTCCATCTGTATCATATATTACAAAGAAATTTGATGACGACGTAGGCTTTAATTAATGCGCATCAGCCGTTATAACATGGATCGCCCGAACGCGTAATTATATCCAGGCGCTAGCCTTATCAAAAATGCCTGCGAGACGAGCGAGCAAAAAGGCATACGCGAATCCGTCCGACAGACATTGCCATTTCGATTAACCGCAGCAAACTCGTTAATCATTTGTGTCACAATACAGACGTACGACAATAGTTACCTCTTAATCGCTCAATTTCTCCGACTTTCCCGCTACGCAACAATAATTTCACAATTATCGAACGAGCAGCTCGTAATGAACAATGCCAAATGAGGATAACGCGCAGCCTCCGCTCTACCGCTCCTTGAATTCAAGACAAATTACGAAAACGAGTCAAGACTTTTTAAATATCGCGCGCAACAAGCGTCGTACTTTATAAAGTGGCGTTTTTATAACCTTCCGTATTAACAGCAAGGCTGAGGAATAATCACTTAGTGGGAGAGAAGAGAGTCACGACGAAGGTAAATTTACAGATGGGACAAAACATCAAGGAGCACGAGGTACCACGTGGTCCAACTCAATTGCCCACGCCGACGACTCCTCGGGGGAACGGACGAGGCTCGAGGGTTCGAAATTTTATAAGAATTTACTACGCCTTTATTCCTCGTTATCGATCGACTTTTAATGAACCAAGTTGCTGCTTGTCGTCGCCTCGGCCTCCCTACGCCAAACGACGGATCTCTTATTCTTCGTCTTCTTCTTCTTCTTCTTCTTCTTCTTCTTCTTCTTCTTCTTCTTCTTCTTCTTCTTCTTCTTCTTCTTCTTCTTCTTCTTCTTCTTCTTCTTCTTCTTCTTCTTCTTCTTCTTCTTCTTCTTCTTCTTCTTCTTCTTCTTCTTCTTCTTCTTCTTCTTCTTCTTCTTCTTCTTCTTCTTCTTCTTCTTCTTCTTCTTCTTCTTCTTCTTCTTCTTCTTCTTCTTCTTCTTCTTCTTCTTCTTCTTCTTCTTCTTCTTCTTCTTCTTCTTCTTCTTCTTCTTCTTCTTCTTCTTCTTCTTCTTCTTCTTCTTCTTCTTCTTCTTCTTCTTCTTCTTCTTCTTCTTCTTCTTCTTCTTCTTCTTCTTCTTCTTCTTCTTCTTCTTCTTCTTCTTCTTCTTCTTCTTCTTCTTCTTCTTCTTCTTCTTCTTCTTCTTCTTCTTCTTCTTCTTCTTCTTCTTCTTCTTCTTCTTCTTCTTCTTCTTCTTCTTCTTCTTCTTCTTCTTCTTCTTCTTCTTCTTCTTCTTCTTCTTCTTCTTCTTCTTCTTCTTCTTATTCTTATTCTTCTTATTCTTATTCTTTTTCTTATTCTTCTTATTCTTACTCTACTTCTTATTATTTTTATTCTTCTTATTCTACTTCTTCTTATTCTTCTTCTTCTTATTTTTCTCCTTCTTCTTTGTCTTCTTCTTCTTCTCCTTCTTCTTCTCCTTCTCCTCCTCCTCTTTCTTCATCTCTTTTTTTAATGATAAACGCACGGGAAATTTTTATAAATAGGCGGCTGCATCGGGGCATGACACTTCCTTCTCTCCTTCCTTCGTGCGCTCTCTTCGCGCTGCTCGACGACTATAGAAAGCTCCATTACAATCGACGATCGATAGCCGGATAATTTGACTCTAGAATTAGGCGATATTATTAAGCTTTGGTGATTATTAAGTGTCGGTAATATGCAGTAGGCGTGTCCCCGGTGAGGCCCAAAAAACTCGGTAACTCTAAAATTACTAAAATTGCATAATTATTTGTTTGTGGAGGGGGGAAGGAGGGAATTGGCAAACGTTATTTAGGAGAATGGCGTTTTTATTTGGAATAATGGTAGGCATTATCCCTCGGTATCAGGCACGAGGGCATTAATCATCGTCACTGGTCGAGCTTTCCCCGTTCGTCGGACAAGGAGATCGGCTCGCAAATATACCCTTGGTCACCTTGGTCCGAGAGGTGGGCTGCATAATACATATTACTTACTTACACATGGACTCGCGATTAGAGCGATATCTATAATGCATATAAAAGAGGCGAGGAATGATGTTGTTGCGTAAATGTGAGCCGAGCGGAGCCCCGGACCGTGTTTAGGAACAAGTAGATTTTTACTGTTCTAAGTGAGTTATTCTCGGTAATGGTGGGCTCGTGCGTGCGCAGTGCTAATTTGAATAGTTATGCGCGCGCGAGCGGCGCGGGGCCCGAGGCGACCACCTCGAGCGAGGCTTTCGCGCGCCTTCGGGGAAATCGGCAGCGCGCACTCAATCTTATCTGCGCCTTGCTTAGCACACGGACACTTGGGCGAGAGAGAGAGATATATATATATATATATAGAGAGAGAGAGAGAGAGAGAGAGAGAGACGAGGAAGCTACAGGAACTCGGTTGCCCGGAGTCCGAGAAGCGGCGGCTGCCCCGGCAAAAGACCCCAAGAGATCACCTTGATTTACAAGGGCCTGCTAAAACTTCACGCACCGTACTTGGAACGGGAGAGGCCACGCATCTTCTGGAGCTACCGAAACCTCCCCGTTGCTCCGCGCTTTGATCCCAATCGGCACGGCCTCCTTTTCACTCCACTTCACTCCACTCCACTCCACGCTCAATCTTCCACTCCCTTCCCTCGTTTGTCTCTTCATTTTCCTTTTTTACGCGTATTATCGGTCGCGCAGGATGACGATTTTTTATTCTCCGCACTCACTTCCGAGAGCTTGAGGCCGACCGGCGGTGATTTCGTGCACCCTTCCTCCCCTCATCATTTCGGTCTCCTTCTACGAGACTTTTCTTCATCTTCTTCTTCTTCGTCTCCTTCTTCTTCTTCTTCTTCTTCTTCTTCTTCTTCTTCGTCTCCTTCTTCTTCTTCTTCTTCTTCTTCTTCTTCTCTTCTTCGTCTCCTTCTTTTAATTCTTCGTCTCCTTCTTCTTCTTCTTCGTCTCCTTCTTCTTCTTCTTCTTCTTCTTCTTCTTCTTATTCCTCTTCTAATTCTACTCTTTTCGCATAAATATTCTCAATCAGAAGCGCTTGGACCTCAGCCTAACGCCAAATTGTAATTGACGGAATTCCTCGCTTTCGTATCTCTTTGCGTCCTTTATTCATTGCCACTCTTTATCCTTTGACGAATTGTGCATTTGTATTTGATTGATTTTTTTTTTTTTTTTTTTTTTTTACAAATTTCATATTTTTAATTCTCTATCAGAAGATGGAATTATTTATGAATTATCTTAATTTTTCTATCCTTACTATGATTATTATTAAATTGTATACGTCTCTTTATTCTTTAAAAACTTGGTTCTATTCCCTCTTTGTGCACATAATTCTCATACGGTATATTTAAAATACTAAGAATATTCTAGATTATTCTTGAAAAATCGTAAGCCCCGATTAATCAAGCTGACTAATCTCATTATTTTAAAGCATCAATAGCAATAATTCATTCTATATCCTTGTTTTTTTTTTTTTTTTTTTTTTTTTTTTTTTAAACAAATAAATACATAACTTCTCTATCAGAAGATGGAATTATTTATGAATTATCTTAATTTTTCTATCCTTACTATGATTATTATTAAATTGTATACGTCTCTTTATTCTTTAAAAACTTGGTTCTATTCCCTCCTCGATCCATATGTGTTATTACAAATTTTTACCTTTGCTTAATGTAAATTTTTGTAGCTGTCACTTTCAATTGTGTGTGTTTAGCAAACTCGTATTATTATCCATCTTTCGTTTACGTTTTTTTTTGTTTCATTTTTTTTTTTTTTTGGTTTTGTTTTATAACGTCAGGAATCATTATTACATATAAGTACATAAAATTTCGTTATTAAATCGGTTATCGTGCACTCGCATGTAATAACAATGTTCCTTATTCTGTAAATTATATATGTATTCTTTTAATTCACTATATATTTACGATTATTTTGTGAGGATTACCGATGTGGAGCAGGCGCTATTAATTTGAAAGTAATATCGTGATAAGTTTGTAGCAATAACGTGCATTAGTCACATCAGCAATTATATATTATGAATGAATGGATTCGTCCATAATTACTATATATATATATATATATATATATATATAGACTAAAGCTTATTTTACTATTATTAATATAATGTTATTATTTATATAATTATTCAAAGTAGTATACAAAGTATTTATAAAAGATTTTGGAAAAAGAATAATTTAAGGGGATACAATAGTATTTATTTTGTTCGAATAAGCTGGAATTTTCCTATTATACAATTTATACAGTAAAGTATAATATTTTTGATATAATTTTGATTTGTGGTTGACAATTACGAATAAATATTTTATTTATGAAATAAGATTAACAAAATATTTTATACACGGGATAGCAGAAATACAATATGATTTAACAACTATATAGATAAATTATTACGTGATACCTCATCCAAAATCCACGATCTACATATAAAATTAGACTTAATAATTAGAACTGGAGCAATAGAGCAACCAAATGAACCAATCAGCATTCGAAATCGGAAGCGCTTGATCATAGTGGCTATATTCAACTCTCTCTCTCTCTCTCTCTCTCTTTCTCTCTCTCTCTCTCTCTCTCTCTCTCTCTCTCTCTCTCTCTCTCTCTCTCAACAATTAGAAAACACTAATTTTGAATGTTCGTCAGTCCATTTCATACTTCTATTACTCTCATTTTAATTAGTATATCTCAATTTTTTACGTAAATCTTCTTCATTTTTTTTTTTTTTATTTTTTGTAGAGGAATTTATTTAGTAATAAATTATATACGTGTTTCTGGAACACAGTATTATAATGTAAAATAGAAAATGTTCTTGTATAATTTATATGTAATAAAAATTAACTATTCGACCATGTAACATTTAAGTTTGTTTCGTAATTTATGGAATGAAAAAATCACAAATCACCCAAGTATACAAGAAAATTATAAAAATATTAGCAAATATTTGCTCGAACATTGAGCAGAATGAGCAAAAAATTTGATAAAACCGTATTTCAACATGTATCGATTAAAAAACGTGTAAAATTATCCGTAGCAGCGTATACATACCATTGATTTTTCACTTTTATTTAAACAATAATTTAATCATAAAAATCGTTAAATAATTGATAGGATATATACTCCTAAAATATACTAATCCTTAAAAAAAAAAAAAAAAAAAAAAAAAAAAAAAAAAAAAAAAAAAAAAAAAAAAAAAAAAGAAAGAAAGATGAAAGAATATTTCGTAAAAATAAAGTCAAAGATCTCAAAAATAAAATTGTCTTTAGAAGAAAAATTTCTTAATACTATATATTGTTTTAAATACGTCCTCAAAGGCGGAAGTCTTAATTTTATAAAATTGTTTTCTACTTCACTGTAGTTTCTAATATAAAGGTTTCCATCTATAATTTCTATTAAAAGCAATTGTTTCTTGGATACAAATAATGATGAAAGAAAACGACGAGAAAAAGTTTGAATAAAATCTCATATTGTAACTCGTGCGTTTGTACGTGCGCGTGTGCGTAAGCCATATTAAATCATGAGATCTAAGAATTTAATTACATTTTTAAATATTTCACTTGACAAACTAAAGTGAAATACCGCTCATCGACACGCATGCATATTCGAAAATTCCATTAGAATAAGTGCATCGTAACGTTTTTATCATAAAAATTCTTAATTGTAATTTATACTATTTAAATTTTACGTATACTGACGTACACTTAGCGGTAACTTATTCACCCATGCATAAACGAGTTTTTAACCTTCTATGTATACTGTATATAAAAATATACTTTATAGGTTAAGAACTCGTTTTCACACGAGCGAAAACGTTGCCGGCAAATGTACATCGTAAAATGTAAACCTTTAAGCATCGAAATTTACCGCGGTCTATATGTTAGTTTTATGGAGTTATATATATATATATATATATATGTGTGTGTGTGTGTGTGTGTGTGTGTGTGCGTGCGTGCGTGCGTGCGTGTGTGCGCGCGCGCGTGTGTGTGTGTTGCAATCACCTTTTTCATATACTAATATTGAATTTTGACATGCCGAGCGTAATAATGCTCGAAGTATATGGCAGGGCGTGCAATTTGAAATTTTGATTTCGACGGGGGCCTTGATGAAGCAATCCTATTATTTTCATCGATCAAAGAAAAAAAACCAAATAGACAGAGTATATGAAAAAAAATTCACAACTTCATTCATTTATGACACTATCGAAGCTATCATTTTTAAAATACCCTTTTAAATGTTAAATAAATAATGCTCGTATATAATGTAAGGTATCACGAAGGCCTTGCGTATTCAAATTAAAATTAAAAGTATCATTGATTTGTGGTTAATCTAAACTCAAAATTACTTTGATGATATAAGACGTATGTTATTATTAAAGCACGTGAGATGGGCTTTTTCTCATTATTGCGCTATGAAATATGCTAACAGTTAAATGAAAGATAAAGGTTTTCTAATAGCATTAGGATACGTTAATTATTATTTGGTTATATTTTTTCATTTTTCGCAACGAATGAGAGACATCGGAATAATAATTCACAAGCATGCTAAATTTTACGATCAACTTTCGTGGAATTCGTTTCCCTGTCGATTGTCTCCATCGTCATTGGCAGCCGTTCTATCTTCCTTCTCCCTCTCCCAACTTCCCTCCCTCATTCGCTCTCTCTCTCTCTCTCCCTCTCTCTCTCTCTCTCTCTCTCTCGCTCTCTCTCTCGCTCTCTGTCTGGTTCGACTCATCTGTCTTTCTCTCCCCACGATATAAATAAATAACGCTTTTATCTTCCTTTTCGTATCCCCTTGTTTTTTACTCTTTTCTCTTTTATTCGTTTATATTGTAGTCCGTGTAATGTAAATTTGCTATTATTTTTTTTTTTTTTTTTATTTTTTTTTATTTATTTATTTATTTTTTTTTTCTATTAAATCTATCCTTCCTCGCTTTTCATCGATCTGAGGACTACCCGTGAAGCTGATTCTCATACTTGCAAAT